CATCTATAGATTGGAATGTCCACAGTGCAAGGTGTTCTACATTGGCCGGACAAAGAGACGCCTTCAAGACCGCCTAGCAGAACACAAATACGCCATACGGGTAGGCAATGAAGACTACCCCATGGCAAGGCACTACAAGTCCTTACACCATGGCAACCCTGCCTCCCTACAAGCTATGGGTATTGATCATGTTCTGGCCTCAATTAGAAAAGGGGACCATCTTAAACAGCTAAACCAAAGGGAACGTTTTTGGATTTACAAACTACAGGCCACTAAGTATACTGGTTTAAATGAAGATATGGATTTCTCACCTCTCCTGTAAGGTCGTGAGAAGTCTCTTTGCTGCCATCTAGTGGACAAATTGCTCTATTGACCTCAGCTATGCTTAGACTCTTGTGGTCCTTGTTTGCTGTGTTCTAGTGTACTATAAAATAGATGGCTCTCCTATTCTTAACACTTTGCCCAGTCATATTCAAGGTTAGAACTACCTTGATTTGCATTTTTGATAACATATCTACAGTATTTCACTTTTTAATGTGTATAGTATTGCTTACTAGGTGTTGTCCAATGAATTCTGTAACCACTCCCTCTTCAAATCAGGGTTGATTGGAAAAAGCTGTTCAAAAGAAGACATTGTATTATTATATCTTAGTGCTCCCTGACGAAGGCCATGCAGCCGAAACGTGTCGGAGTTATTAAACTTTGTTTCCATTGAACATGCCATACAAATTAAGGCATTTTAATTAATTATATGGTCCTTCTTTCTTTTTAACCTTTCACGCGAGAGTTCCAAATATCTCTAACAGTTGCCCCTGTGTGAGTTTTTTCATGCGTGTGATGTCAGAATTTCTCACTGTTCCAAAATGTGATTGTTACGCAACAGGACAGTTAATCCACGCTACCCTCAAACCAAGGCACGCTGCCTGCTAATTATCTACATGCTATGTTTCAATTTGTCAATTTCAAATTATTTTCTAACAAGTTTAATTTTATAACAACAGTTTTAATTGAGGTGTGCTCCGCCTCCTCGTTAATTCACACAAGAAGTAGCCCATTTCACTGTTGCGGACAATTTATGTTTGAGGCTTTACTGAGCTGGATAAACTTCTTTCTTCAACGAGAGCCCAAGCACTTCCCTAGTGTTTCCCCAGATCATGTATGAAGACATTGCGCATCTCTAGTCAGAAAAGGCCTTGCACAAACGTTTTCCCCCAGCACATTTTCTGGCTGGCGCCCGCATTGCCTTCATAGTTGTTTTCCTTACAAATTGGACTTTGGACATGTGTGCGTTCCTATCAAAGCTTATTTTCTGTATATCGTGTTGTCGTTTCTGCTGTAGCACACCGTATGAATGTATGGATCATAATGTATTTACTGTTTTATTCACATTGTTAGAAATAGCGTAATTCAAATCTGGTATTGGAATAAGAGAAAACATGTTCAATAAGTGTTCAATCCAAGCTAAATTTATTATATGCAAAATGTATGTATGATAAGTATGATGGTTCGTATACGGGCTCACTGAAATACCACGCAGGGCAGACAGAGAACTAAGCCATTGTTATGAGTTCTTCTTAAAATACTCTGACAGAGATAGTTCCCGCTCCCTGCTGGCCAATCAGAGTAGAGACTGAGCGTGGTTTAGACTTACTCAGCCTATCCGTTGGCGCACAGGCTGGTCCCAGCCCCTTGGCGCTCCACTGTTGCCAGGTGTCTAGTTGTTTTGCAACTTATCCAGAAAGTCAGCACTTTTGCAGTACACGTCCTTGGACGGTTCACAGATCACAAAGAGGCAGTGTTCGTGTCTGTGAGAAATACAAGTCTTATCTCATCCTACCCCCTAACGTTCCTCACATGAATCACAGCTTGTTATGTGAAACAATTTATATCAGTACAGTACAAACCCATTATGTTTAATCATTAATGCATTCTTTCTAAGCTAGTCATCACATCTAGATCCCCACAATCCCCCTTTTCACACCCACTGGGTGTGAACCCAAAATAAGAAAACACAGGGTGTCACTCATTAAAATACAATACAAACAAAAAGAATCACACTTTTATTAATAGGCAATAATGATAATAAAAAGGCTTTCAGTCCTTCCATCTACACCGAACTTGTAAACAGTTGTCTACCCAGCCACCCAGGAACTTCAAACCTTCACATAAGGAAAGACAAACATTCACAATGGTTAACTTGATTAATAAAGCATAAAACACAGGATTAATAGAACACAAAACACAAGATTATTAAAACATAAAACACAAACAGGGAAGTACATTTTGGCCCCCTTTAGACACCCTCTAGGGTGTCACTCCACCAAGCCTGGTAGGTCATATCCTTCATTCCTTAGGTCGGAGTCCGGGATTGGGCCGTATCTCACCATCTGTTGGGAAACCGCCTTCTCCATCTCCTTTTCTCACCAACCCTCGGACACAGGGAATAAGACAACATCCACAAAGAACAAGTATACCCATAGAAGCTATAACTTCACCCAGAATAGTTACAACAATAGTTTTCCATTTACCAAATATGTTATCAAACCAACCGTTTAGGGAGCTATCAATACCAGAGTTCTCAGCCAGTTCGTTCGCCAGCGTGGTGAGTCCCTGAAGCGCTTTGGTCACGGACCCGTCCGGTGCTGTATTGTTGGAGATGAAAGTACAGCACATAGATCCAAACAGAACACAAACTCCGCCCCGCTCAGCCAAAAGCACATCTAAAGCTATTCTATTCTGCCATGCCATTAAGCTAGTTGCCGCTGTCTGCTCAGCCAATCCCTTTATTGCATCACGAGTGTGGTTTATAAATCTTTGCTGGTTATAGTAAATATAATTTATCCAATCTACGTTTTTATTAATTGTTGACCACCAGAAAAGACATGATTCAAACCCAGCTGCGATCTGATTCCTAGCTTTGAATTCTTCTGGAACCCCTCGAGGTACTCCTATCCCATCAATATATATCCTTTCATCAAAGGATCCCAGGAGGAGGTCCCACTTTCTACGTGACAACTCACCAGTCTCTGACACATTTGATTGTTTGCGTATGTAGGTGAGTTCACAATCTGTTATCACCACACAACCATCAGATGTCAGCACTGGCCTGGTTTTGGTTCCTAAAATCCTCTGGCTGCAACAAAGAGGAGAGATTAGTCATGGTCTCTTTAGTTGTTACATTCTCTGTGTGGGAGCAGGAGCTAAGATGCCCTACCCTGTATCCTATCTTATTAGTCCTAGAAAAACAATAATAAGAATCCCCTGAGACTTCAAACGGAGGCAACCTAGGTCGGGGTGACTTTGTTATCAGGGGATACAGATAGTGCAAGTTACTACAAGACTCCTTCACCACATTCCCAGGTGGCTTGAACAATTTAATCATGGAGGATAAACCTGACAGAGAGTTAAAGCCTGTCAAGGGGAACGGAGTAGTTGTTAACCTTGGTTTGGCTGTCCCACAGGCATAACAGTCCTCTTTAGACATAGTTCTTGCCGTATACTGAATCCATTCCAACCACAGGTCAAGATCTCTTTACCCCGTCTCCACCTGTACTACTTCCTTCAGGTCTATAGTTTGCACTATCTTCACCACAGCCCCGGTCTCACTACCTCCCTCAGAGAGGTTTACTCTATAGGGTGCCCCAGTTGAAGAGGATATCTCACTTGTCAGGTCTGTAACCTGTTTTAGCGTAATTCAGACTTTCAGACAGTACCTACCCTTATATGGGTCGCACTGCCATTTCTGGTAATTCCCTACTTTCACAATACTACACCTGTCCTTAAACTGTGTATGGAGATTGACATATCCCCCCCCCCCCCCCCCCCCCCCCCCCCGCTCGGTATGAGCAACTACATAGTCCCAGGATGTATATGGTGACATACATATATATCTCCCATCCTTTACGATACTACCAGCCAGTAGTCCCCAACTCGTCCGCAAAGACCTCAAAAGGTGATGTCCTTCCCTACAGTCCCTAGTACTTCCCCTTTCCCCCTCGTCTAGCTGTCTCCTATGCCTTCGTAGACTGTGCTCAGGTATTATTTTATCAACTTGTGTTAGGTTAACTACTACTTCTGGCGGATCAGGAGGGTTTGAGTGTGTTAGGAATATGGCCCCCACAATCAGACATTATTATGCCTTACAATGTCTCCTTTTTTGTTATTAAAATTACAAATGCCTTCTACTGACCCTAGCCGTATCTAGCTTTTGCTAATATGTGTCAATGGCGCCACACCTTTTAAAATAATTTTGGGGGCCTCCTATGGGTGACTGTTGTTAACGTTTGCACAATTTTAACTTATCTAAGATACCCTTTATGACTTTCCAGTCATAATTCTCATTGTTTACTGTTTAAAATACTCTTATTATCACACAGCCATAAATGACACACAGTCATACGTGACACACAGTCACAATCCTATCATACGGTCAAATATGTCACACAGTCATAAATGACACACTCATACGTGACACACAGTCATAATTCTATGACACACAGTCAAATCTCTTATGACATAAGAGATTTGCTTATGACGCAATATCTGTGCGCGCGGACTAGGCCTACTGATGTCCTGTTCAGTTTGAGAGGGAGAGCACGAAGATGAGAAGGAGGACTGGAGGTAAGCTTGCTACTGCTATAATTGATTTGAATAAAAACAATTTGTTTCATTGCCCATAATGAAGCTATTTACAGTGTCTTAGCTCTTATCACTAATTTATATAATAAGAAAGACTCAGAATAAAAGGAAGTGAACTGGAGCTTCACATTTACTGAAGCTAGTTAGTACAATAATAAAATAGAGCAACACTGCGCATGACCAAAGGCTCTCCGTTCTTAAAGGGGACATCAGTAATTAACAGAACATAACATTACTTCTCTTATACAATCATAGTTACTTTTACCAAACCACAACCAAAACATTTCCCAGAACTTGTTGTAGTTATTTAGCATCTTTGATTTGAACTTGAACAGCCTTAGTTTTTGATTGTGTTTGTTTGTTTACAAGTCCAGTCTGTCTGGTGGACAGTGCCTTCGTTCCGGGTAGCGCCTTGGATTGTCTGGAGGCTCCTGCACATCCTCAGTGTGTGCTTGCTCCATAATAGTTTCTGCTATAGCAGCACCTTCATCCACACGTTCCCTTCTTTCAGCCTGGGGTCTCTGTACTGCCCCACCGTCCTCTACAGTTCCATGTGTGTCACTCACAGGAGCTCTCTGTGCCTGTTCTCTCTCGATTGTTGTGCTGTTTTCTGTGGAATGCATTTGGTTAATGTGACGCCGCCGCATTATGTCTGGGCTCACTTGAACCTGGTAAGTTCTGGATCCCGTTTGTGCATGTACGGTCCCTCTTGTCCATTTCCCTCCATTTCTGTAGTCTCGCACCATCACTTCCTGTCCTGTTCGGAGATGGCGCACCTGGCCACTGGAGAGCATCTTGGCTTGTTTGTTCAGCACTTCATTACGCCTGTTTGGCTTCATGATGTCCAGCTGTGTGCGGAGAGGCCGCCCGAACATCAGTGCTGCTGGGCTTTCATTTGTCGTGGCATGTGGGGTGTTTCGGTAGGAGGCCAGGAACTTGGCCAGTTTTGTTTGCAAAGTCCCTTCGTCTCGTTTTGCTGCATGGAGTCCTTGCTTTAGGGTTTGCACAAAGCGTTCTGCCAGCCCATTGGTGGCAGGGTGGTACGGAGCTGAGGTTGAGTGTTTGATTCCGTTTACTGACATGAATCTTGTAAACTCGTCACTTACGAAAGCTTGCATGTTGTCGCTTGCCAGCTGCAGAGGCAATCCGAAGAGTGCAAACGTTGTTCTGAGACACTCTATAGTCTGAGCTGAGGTGAAGGTGTCAGTGCAAAACACCTCTGGCCATTTGGAATGGGCATCAACTATAACCAGAAAGATGTGCTTTTCAAAGGGGCCAGCGTAGTCCACATGAATTCTCTGCCATGGCTCTGTGGGCCATTCCCATGGGTGGACTGGAGCAGGAGCAGGCATGTGAAGCGTTTCCAAACATCCGCTACAGTTCTTCGCCATGTTTTCTATCTGTTGATGCAGACCGGGCAACCAGAAGTGCCAAGAGTGTGCAAAGCTGTCATCAAGGCAAAGGGTGGCTAATTTGAAGAATATCAAAAATAAAACACATTTTGATATATTTAACACTTTTTTGGTTACTACATGATTCCATATGTGTTATTTTATAGTTTTGATGTCTTGACTATTATTCTACAATGTCGAAAATAGTACAAATTAAGAAAAACCCTAGAATGAGTAGGTGTGTCCAAACTTTTGACTGGTACTGTATGTACTAACACCCTCCCCTTCATTCTGGTCTCTCTTGTGGAAAAGAAAACGTTCCGCGATGAGGAGTGGTTTAGGTGATAGGTGATTTTGCAATATCTCCACAACCTCTGCAAATGTTTTATTGGAGGGCTTCAGAGGGGCAGTCAGATCTCTTAGCAAACTGAATGTTTTTGGGCCAATCAAACTCAACAACGCTGGTACTCTCTTGTTATCAGCAATGTAGTTTGCAATGAAGTACTGTTCCAGTCTTTCAATGTAAGTTGCTCACCTCAAACTGGATGAAGATTTTTTCTGTAATGAGTCCGACGCGAAGGATTATATTGCTTCTGCGAGACCAGACTAAAATCCCTGTCATTCACGTGAAGAAAAGACGGAAATACAGGGGGCGGAGATCGGTGTGCCTTGTGAGAATTTGTCTGTGAGTGGGTAACCCGCCTCTACCATCCGTTCTATTGGCCAACGTGCAATCACTGGAAAATAAACTGGATGATCTCCGCTCTAAACTATCCTACCAACATGACATTAAAAACGGTAATATCTTATGTTTCACCGAGTCGTGGCTGAACGACGACATGGATAATATTCAGTCAGCTGCGTTTTCTGTGCATCGGCAGGGCAGAACAGCTACGTCTGGTAAGACGAGGGGAGGGGGTGTGTTTCTATTTGTCAATAACAGCTGGTGCGCAATGTTTCATATTAAGGAGGTCTCGAAGGTATTGCTCGTCTGAGGTAGAGTACCTCATGATAAACTGTAGACCACACTATCTACCAAGAGAGTTTTCATCGTCGTCTCCACGGTGACCGTGCGTACATATCCCAACCAGAAGCCATGGATTACAGGCAACATCTGCACCGATCTAAAGGCTAGAACTGCCGCTTTCAAGGAGCGGGACACTAATCTGGACGCTTATAATAAATCGCGCTATTCCCTCAGATGAATTATTTCGTTTCACTGCATGTTTTTTTTCAAAGAAAGATTCAGAAACAGCATTCAGCAGCCACTCGAGTTCTCCTATCCACCCTCAGTTTGATAACACTGTACATATGAAGTCAATATAAACTTAAATAATATCATAGAATCCCCAGTTTCCAGTTGGCTTATTCAATCCCATTCATCCCTCTCTGGAACTCTTCCCAATGTCAATGAGAACGCATTCTCAGCATGTTCATTTGGTACAAAATGAAAGAAAACAGACTGAAACAGGGAAGGGACTACCTGGACTTATCCAATAAGAAACACTCTTGTTTTCCCCCCGTTGCCAAACGTTTTACAGCATTTTCCTTTTTGTATCCTAATAAACACGACCCTGCTAAAATAAGTGTGAAGTAAATAAGATAAATTAATACATATTCTGCCACCCAGAACCCCCGAGGTTCCACAGAGCACAAGTTCCCGTCCATCGTGGAGACCAGAGGAGGTCTCCATGACGACACGGACGAGTACTACCATGTATCACCGGCGTCCCGCACCTGCCGCGCCAACCTCCTCCTGCGCCTCACCTCCCTGGGCAACCTGCTGGGTGATGAGCTGAGACAGTTCAACGCCCTGCGCCACTGCCGCTCGCCCAACTTGAGCTGGGGATGCCTACCCCGGGGCCACAGCCTGTCTTCCCCACAGCCGGCCCCGAAAACGTAGCACAGTATCCCAGGGGCAGCCACCGCTAGCCCCCTCTGCCTCGGGGGATTTGGGGGCAAGGAGTCAGGGCCGCAAGCCCTCCAAGCTGCTGATTCCCACTGTCAGCTGTTACGCGCCGCCAGATCTCAGTTCCAGGTAAAGGACACACAGAAACACATTTTGTTGGACTTTCACTTTATCTCTGTCCCAATATCCAAACTTGTGCACTAGGTAGTATGAAGTGCACAGGCGGCTGGTGGCACCTTAATTGTGGAGGACGGGCTCATAGTAATGGCTGGAACAGAATAAATGGAATGCTATCAAACATTCCATTGTATTCACTACATTCCATCATTTATTATGAGGTGTCTTCCCCTCACCAGCCTCCTGTGATAAGGTAATGTATTGGCAAAGTGTATGAAGTAGTGTGCTATTAGGATATAGTCTTTTTGTTGTTGTTGTCATTAGCCAAGGCTAAACTGGACAAATTGCAGTTTAAAAAAGCGCCTATCTGGACGTAAACTTCAACCACATTTTCACAGCACAATTATAGCTCAGTAGCAATGCATACACAGTGTAATGATATGTGATTGCATTAACAAGCTTCTCCAATAGCATATAAATGCAAATGTAATAGCATCTCTCACCATGCCCGTATCCACAAAGTGTCTCAGAAAAGGTCCTAGGAATCCTGTTAAAACCTGTTTTAAGACTATAAGGATGTTAAGACACTGCTCAGGCAAACAGAGCAAGGAGTAAAATCAACTCATAACAGTTTTCTCAGCATGTAATCACAACAGCTTGAGGTACCGCAAAGGAAAGATAGTGGTTATTCCCCATCATTTGCAACAATGTCAATGAGTGTCATGCTCTATAGCACGCTTCAGACAACCATGTTGCAATGAAACGTTTGATAAAATTTTCACTTGACACGATTATTTTGCCTACTCTTAATTCTTGCCTAATATGTTGGCATGGATTTTTTTTTTAACCAATTCTGATATTTTGAATAATGTGATAGACATATTGCACTGAATCATGAATGAATAGTTGAAATAACGATTGAGGTAGCTACAGTATGTAATCTAACTCAAAACGTAACTACTACAAATGGATTTAAATTACAATAAATAAAGGTTAACTTGTTTTTTGCTGTTGTGGCAGCACAAGTGGGCATTTGATTTGCTAACTCATCACATGATCAGCATTTCGTCAACAACACTAAAAAAGTACTTCCGGATCACGAAATTTCTGAAATGTTCAAAATAAAAGTCCACCACGTAATAGTAGAAAAGTGTCAATAACCATTTATGATACATGAAAAATAATTGTCTAAACATTAACAATGATTCATATTTAAGTGACATTTGCGTTACATTTCGGTTCTCAAACATGTTCCAAGGTCAAATAAATGCCTCTAATGCTAATTACTATATTACTACATATTGGCTTAGAGCAAGAACTATTCTGGGTGCCGCAGTAAAAGTACTATAGGGAATACCCAGTAGGGTCTGTAGAATCCATATATGGTGTCATTTCATGGGGTTCTGAATAATACGGAGTGTTGATGGCCTTTTACCCCGCCCATTCCATCGGTGGCCGAATCACATCACATGTGCGCTTACTGCACTACAGAAAACCACTAATCAAACAGTGCAGGGCACGCTCACTGAATTAAAGGGCAACTACACTCAAAAATCAAAGCCTCTTAGATTTTTCCCAGACCTCAAAAGTCATATTGGGTTCATTCATGGGAATTGAACCCAATACCGTGGCTTGCAACGCTCTACCAAGATGCATGACAGGGTTATAAATGCTTGGTAAAACCTCAATTGAATATGATTTATAAGGCATTTATTAAGCGGTTCTTATGCCATTTTCTATAGTGGGTTATGTCACTTTTGACATTGGTGGTTATGTCACACAGTCACAAAGTTATGCCACATTTATGAAGCCTTTATAAAACATGACATACGGTTATACAATACCACTAAAAAGTTTGGACACACCTACTCATTCAAGGGTTTTTCTTTATTTTTACTATTTTAATAGTGAAGACATCAAAACTATGAAATAACACATATGGAATCATGTAGTAACCAAAAAGTGTTAAACAAATCAAAACATATATTGTATTTTAGATTCTTCAAAGTAGCCACCCTTTGCTTTGATGACAGTTTTGCACACTCTTGGCATTCTCTAAACCAGCTTCATGAGGTATTCACCTGGAATGCATTTCAATTAACAGGTGTGCCTAGTTACAAGTTATTGTGTGGAATTTATTTTCTTCTTATTGCGGGGGGGGGGGGGGGGGTTGTATACAGAAGATAGTTGGTTGAGAGAATGCCAAGAGTGTGCAAAGCTGTCATCAAGGCAAAGGGTGGCTACTTTGAGGAATCTCAAATATAAAATATATTTTGATTTGTTTAACACTTTTTTGATTACTACATGATTCCATATGTGTTATTTCATAGTTTTGATGTCTTCACTATTATTCTACAATGTAGAAAATAGTAAAAATAAAGAAAAACCCTGGAATGAGTAGGTGTGTCCAAACTTTGACTGGTACTGTAGATGATTTGTAATACATTTATGTGGTGTTTATGCTGCACATAATTTAAAGCGGTTTATTATTTATTAGCCTAGCGATTACAGTATTTAGGCATAAACCCAAGAGATACTGTTGCATATAGGTCTAGATTATTTCTGAGTTTATCATATAGAAATATCAAAACATTCTTTCAACAACTCAAAAGCAGTTGCCTGTCTATGGCGCAGGAACCACTGACTTTTTCTATTGTCAAGCCACCTGCTGGTAACTAGTTGGGACTCTTATGACTAAAGAGGCTGCATGCATAGATTTTACTTTTACCCATACGAGTAAAAGGCCTCTATTCTCAGCACTTACAACCACTTTTCTACATGGCCGGCTGCCAGTGGGGCTCCAATTGTGACTCTTTGGGTCGGGTGGCGATGGATGATCATTTGATAATTGAAATGGACTCTACTGTTATTGTCCCTTCCTCCCACCTCTCCCGCCCTCCCTCCCTCTCTCCCCAACAGAGTTATCGATGGCACTGAGGACAACAGGTGCAAAATCCTCTTCAACGTGGAGCACAGCGGGCCCAAGGACAGCGCCACGGGACGCCCCAGTGGCTTGAAGGTGAACGTGGGATTCAAACTGGGGCCAATACCATAATGTCCCTCTACATATGTGGAACGTAAAACGTAAGAGAGGTGAAATGACATCTCAGGTGTCTTCAGAGGTGAGATAAGGCAGTCAAGGACAAATTAGGGGATGTGATTCAATCAAAACCAGTTACCAAGATTCCAGGGTTTGGCCTAAAACAGTATTCCTCCCATGCTGAAAGAAAATGTGTTATGATTTAGTTAGTCTTTTATTTCACAAATTAAACATTCAATTACTCCAAGCACTTGAATGAAATGTAAGAAAAATTTTTATATTACAGTGGCTTGCGACTGGCATTTTTCCTATTTTGTTGCCTTTCAACCTGGAATTAAAATGGATTTTTTGGGGGTTTGTATAATTTGATTTACACAACATGCCTACCACTTTGAAGATGCAAAATATTTTTTATTGTGAAACAAACAAGAAATAAGACAAAAAAACAGGAAACTTGAGCGTGCATAACTATTCACCCCCCAAAGTCAATACTTTGTAGAGCCACCAATTACAGCTGCAAGTCTCTTGGGGTATGTCTCTATAAGCTTGGCACATCTAGCCACTGGGATTTTTGCCCATTCTTCAAGGCAAACTGCTCCAGCTCCTTCAAGTTGGATGGGTACCGCTGGTGTACAGCAATCTTTAAGTCATACCACAGATTCTCAATTGGATTGAGGTCTGGGCATTGACTAGGCCATTCAAATCAAATCAAATCAAATTTTATTGACCACATGCGCCGAATACAACAGGTGTAGACATTACAGTGAAATGTTTACTTACAGCCCTTAACCAACAATGCATTTATTTTTTTATAAAAAAGTAAAATAAAAACAAAAAAGTGTTGAGAAAAAAAGAGCAGAAGTAAAATAAAATAACAGTAGGGAGGCTATTGTGATGTCACGAGAGGCTGTGTCCTGGAGGGACGTTACATCCCCCTGAGGTGGCTGCAAACCCAGACAGCTATGGCTCCATCTGCTGGTATGGTCGGGAACGCCACCCCTCTATGGCCAATCTTCCCACGCAGCTGAAACAAATGAGGAGCTGATGAGCTGAAGGTTTGGAAGGGAAGAGACACACTGAGGGAGTGTGGGGGGGGGGGGGGTGAAGAGACACAGTCTCCAACCTGGGCTCTCTGGAGGACAAGAGGGCTGCACGTCCACTTCCAGGAGGAATATAAGGATTTGGAGATACTTACCTTTCTGAAATACTCACCTTTGGATAAATGCACCTATGGAAATACGTGAGAGACATTTGGAAGGACTTTTTGCTGGGTTGGCCACTAGCTGCAACGTGGACTACAGTAAGGCTGGGGAAAAGTTATCTGAGCGAGTGAGAATTATGATTTTGGATGTGGAAGAGACATCCCTGAACTGTTAACCCTTAAAGATATATAACAGGGGGGTACCGGTGCAGAGTCAATGTGCGGGGGCACCGGCTAGTTAAGGTAGATGAGGTAATATGTACATGTGGGTAGAGTTAAAGTGACTATGCATAAATAATTAACAGAGTAGCAGCAGCGTAAAAAGGGGCAGTGTAAATAGTCTGGGTAGCTATGGTTAGCTGTTCAGGAGTCTTATGGCTTGGGGGTAGAAGCTGTTGAGAAGTCTTTTGGACCTAGACTTGGCACTCCGGTACCGCTTGCCGTGCGGTAGCAGAGAGAACAGTCTATGACTAGGGTGGCTGGAGTCTTTGACAATTTTGAGGGCCTTCCTCTGACAACGCCTGGTATAGAGGTCCTGGATGGCAGGAAGCTTGGCCCCAGTGATGTGCTGGGCCGTACGCACTACCCTCATTCCAAGACATTTAAATGTTTCCCCTTAAACCACTCGCGTGTTGCTTTAGCAGTATGCTTAGGGTTATTGTCCTGCTGGGAGGTGAACCTCCGTCCCAGTCTCAAACCTCTGTTAAGGCTGAAACAGGTTTCCCTCAAGAATTTCCCTATATTTAGCGCCATCCATCATTCCTTCAATTCTGACCAGTTACCCAGTCCCTGCCGATGAAAAACATCCCAACAGCATTATGCGCACACCACCATGCTTCACTGTAGGGATGGTGTTCTTTCCTTGATGGCCAAAAAGCTCAATTTTAGTCTCATCTGACCAG